ATGTTATCAGTTCACAGAACAGTGTAAAATAAGAAAATGGGGTCAGAGAGTGTATAGGACTAAAAAGAATGAGACAATATGAGTTCAAATACATGATACCCAATTTCAGCCACTTGGACCAAGGGTTTCCCCTAAATCCTGGTGAGAAATGACTGGATGTTGATATTACAGTTATACCATAGACCATATATAAATATACAAACTTTTAAGCTGCATTTATTATTTCCAAAGCATGGGTTCAGTCATTCTCAGAAATCAATTTGTTATATTAGAATGGCCTGAAGTAAATAATGTCTTTCAAGTACTGATAAGGACAGGTATAAAAGTAGGTAGAGGACCGATATGTGCCCAGTGGCTAGAATAGAGAGATTCTTACAGGATGGTTTCTGCGAATGATCTGAGACATAGTAAATACTCAATAAATGGTAGTTCAATAGGGGCAATGGGCCACATAAAATAAGTGAAAATTCACAGGGCAGCCCAGGGAAACAGTAGATTTGAGCTTGTTGACTAGGTTGAGCTTGTTGAGTTTTGTTGTCTATGTGCAGGACAATTAAGAAACACTGAAAATTTAGACCTGTGTACATTGGAGGCCAAATTTATACTATCCATGAAGCACCAGAACTCCAAGTGAGAAATTAAATAAGAATTAGTACGGAATCACTGACAACCCTGAGGGCTTTAGTAGATGTGAATATTAAACTTCCTTGTAGAGACAATTCATGGCCACCAGGTTCTTAGGACCTCCCCGGGAGGAAAAAACAAAACAAACCACAACAAAAAACACAAAACTTCTCTAAGAATAAGTTCATAATAAATAAAAATTACAAACTATTTGAAGAACCAAACTACCAAAGGAGAATAAAGAAACATAAGAACTGAAAATAGAGAATGGCTTCAGAATAACAAGGAATTTGAAAATGAAACAAACAAATATGTCTACAATTTTTATTTTCTTTTCTGTTGAGTTTATTGGTACAATCTAGGTCTATAATACAGTTACATTCATTACTGGGATCCTGTACCTCCACATGACAAGTCTTGGTTCTCATTTTTTCTCCTTATCCCTGCCCTCTCTTCACCCTCTCCTCCCCTCCCCATTAACAAACTCTTTATTTCCATTTTTTCATTTTCTCATATTTTTTCTTTTCCCTTATTTCCTTGCCCATACCCTTCACCCTTTCCCTACACCTTTACCCCTTTTCTTCACACTTCACCCTATTACCCATCCCATTAGGATCTTGTGTACTATTATAGTTTTCACACCAGAGAAACTATTCAGTATTTACGCATGTGTGACTTATTTATTTTGCTTAAGAGTATATCCTCAATATGTGTCCATTTTCCTATGAGCATGTAATAAATTTAACTGGAAGCTGGGAAGAATGATAAAATAGTTTAACATGCATATTCTTTTGTTTCTGGTGCTGGGGAATGAATCCAGGGCCTCCTTCATGCTGAACACAAGTTCTACCACTGAGCAGCATTCCCCTACCTCCATCTGCAAATTCTTAAAGCATCCTTAAAGCTTCTTTAATGCTTCACTCTTGTGAACTGACTCACATATGAAAGTTGAAATACAATTTGTTACCGATGGAGCCAAAATCCACCCAATCTTGTCAAAAGCAGTCCTTTTAAAATTATTTTGGAAAATGCAGAGATGGAAAATGCCAATGCAGTTGAGTTAAAAGAGGCATCTCATTTTGTCCTGTTAATTAAACCAACTGTGAAATAGTCATAAACAATTGTTTCTACACATATATCATCTGGTGCTTTCACTTTGCTTAAGAGTAGACTTCTCAGCTGGGTGTGGTGGTGCACACCTATAATCCCAGAACTTGGGAGGCTGAGGCAGGAGGATCACTATGAGTTCAAGACCACGCTGGGCTATATATATATAGTGAGTTCTAGGTCAGTCTTAACTACAGAGTGAGACCCTGTCTCAAAAACAAAACAAAACAAACAAAAACCCAGTAGACTTCTTATCCCTTTGTTTTGTTAGTAAGAGATGTCAAACCCCAATAAAAACTAATAACAATTTTTTTGTATGTTTCATTAGAACAACATCCCACAAGGACTTAGTTTATTTTCCTCCATAGAATTTTGACTTCTTTCAAAGTCTGCCAACTCTAGGGTATGAAAGTACCAGATAAGGGCACTGAGGTGGAGCCCCACATTTCTACATATATATTTGGAATCTCTAAGTGAAGTGGTCCTAGACTTGAGACTGAATAAAAATTGTGGAAACAATTTTGAAGGAATTATAGCATTGCCATAATATTATTTGCTAGAAAAGAAGATTCACAATAAACATCTGTTAATATATTTTTCTTTATTTGCTTGCTTATTTATTTATTTACTTACTTATTGTGGCACTAGATTGAACACAGGGCCTTTGCACTCAACTACATTCACAGCTCTTGTTTTGTTTTGTGACAGCATCTCACTGAGTTGCTAAGTTGTCCAGGTTGGACTCAAACTTGTGATCTTCCTGCCTCAGCCTCCCAGAGTGCTGGGATTACAGGACTGTGCCACCAAGCCTGGTGCATAATTTCATTTTAAAAGTAATATTTGAAAACAAAAATCTTAACAAAGAATATAATCTCGAGGACAAAGTGTCCTCAGATTTGTATATAAGTACTTTCTGAGAAAAGTACTTTATAGCACCCTTGTTTTTCCCATAAACTAGTAAAATCCTGGTCCTGGTTTCTGATTCAGAGTTCTCCAGCTTGGGCATACGGGTCATATGTCTCAACTCTGATTTTGAAACACAGGCTACTGAATTCTAGAACCCATGCTCACTTAGACACACACTCAGCTATAACCTGGCAGTCTCTATACCCCCAGACCTATCTTTATAACTTGACCAGATATAAAACTATTTGAATTTTGAGTCTTTGTTATAGTTGCCATTACCCTTTACATATGCATTCTCTAATTTCATCTAAAACAAAACAAAACAAAAACTCTACTCTGAGCAGGGATTATATTTGCCCTTATTTTGCAGGTGAAGAAACTAATATTCAGAGTGGTCATTCTCTAAATTCACCCACACATTCATACATTGGACAAGCATTTGTTCAAAATTTCTGAGTCCTGTGGCACTGTGGTAACTTCCAGTGAAGTCGAGATGAGTAGAACCCATCTATGTTCTTACTCAAGGTCGTAGAGATAGTTATTGACAGAGTTAAGACTGCAGCCCAGGTGTTTTGGTTGTAACTACTCTGCTTCTCTAGTACTCTGCTGCCCACTGTGTCTTTCTCAATTATGAATAGCTCTTGCTACCATACACAGCCCTTTCTTCCCCTGCTTGTGGTCTGAGCTCTCTCCTTGGCCAGGCTGAGTTATGTGGAACTCCAGATGAGCTTTCATTATTTAAACCATCATTGTTTAGACATAAACTTCAAATGGCTGAGCGGTTGAAGTGGAGTTGAAGGATGCAAAATGGGAAGAGGACCCAAGAGGAAGTATCCCAGCCAGTAAAATAAAAGCCCTGCAGTGAAGCAGGAAGTTCAAAGACCAAGTATTAGTAACTGAACATAAAAATGCTTACAAACCGTTACCCTGATACTTCCAAGCATTTGTAGTACTGCCCCTGAGAGGAATCTGCTAAATTCATTTTTTTCCAATCCCTGATATGCCAGTGGTGTCTTAGTTGAACTGCTTGGTTCCTTACCCCTTCATCTTCCTTTGTGCTGGCTTCTTGTTTGAAGCAGCTTTTGTTTAGAACTTTGCCAGAATATAGTCTCATTATGCATCACCGATTCCAAGCCTGTTTTCTTGGCCTCTGATGGTTATACCTTGCCTGCACCTGCCCGTGGGTGACTGGACTGATGGGTCCAGGCTGCATGGTAGTTATAACTTTGGATGTCGATCTTACATATAGTGCTATGCAGTTATTTTCATTTATACAATCTTTGCAGACACTCTTGTTTCATATGGCTGCCACTTTGAGACATGTTAGAAGTTAGAGATGGTTTATAGAGATAGTTGTAATAGTCTAATGCAGTGCTAAGTGATGGGTCATTATGTATTTGTTTATGACAGTTTTGGAGTTAAAATAGGAGAAAAATTAGCCTTAACCTGTCACCTAATTCTACTATATCTTCAGTTTAGTTCAAAATAGAATAAAAATATATCACTATGAGAATTCCAGGAAGCAGATTAATTTGAAGAAAATTTTCTGCAAAACAGCCATTATGAAAAGAGCAACAACTCAGATTCTTGGGTGAAAGCCATATGTAATTGCCTATTATTTCCTCCATTCTCTGCTAATTCTTATTGTCTTTCGCAGTTGAATAACAGTAAGTAGAAAGTAAAATATCAAAATTCTCACCCCCACCCCGAATCATAGTACTCCAAGAACCACATACTAAAGTTGGTCTTGAAAACCCTGTGTCTCCTCAGGAATCTTCTAAGGCCAACTGAAATTATGCACAGGGGCAGCCAGTGTCAGACAGTTCATTCTGCACCTTGGGAACATACATTTCCACAGCCTGGGTAGATAGGAAAGACACCAGGTATGGAAGAAGGGTGCAGAAGGGCGGGTGAAGGAGCATCTGACCTTCTTTCTTGCTCCAAAGGATGAGAATGCTCTAATGCTGCACAGATTTATTTGCACTAACAAGCTCTTATTTCAAAATGCAATTACCCATGGGATGACTAAGCCTATAGTACTGGAGATCACATTAAATTCAATTAAGTATTCTGCAATCAGACACATTATTTTGGGGCAAAGGAAAAAAGATACACATTCCAATTAAACAGGGATGAAAAAGTTAATGATCTTGGGCCTAAGGATTATCAAAGGAGCCCGTGAAAAGTACAAATTTGCTAACCTTTCTCTCCACCTCATCCCCATTGTGATGCAGGAAAGGCTGGAGAGGGGGCCAGGAGTCCATAATTTTAAAAGCTTCCTGGGTCATTCAGTGCTGCCAGACCGGGGATGAGCTTTGAGGAAGCATAAGTCTTGGAGGGTGTTTTGCAGCCCTTCAACCAACCTTCACAGTCTGATCCTCAGCTTGACAAACCCTGAACTTGATGTTGCGTCAGGGCTCCTGAGGGCTGATGTGCTTACAAGTCTGCGGGAAGCTCCTATGTAAACCAGAGTTCCAGCTCACCAGTTCCAAGGAAGGGAAGTTCTTTTCAGAGACCAAAATGCTCCCATCTGCCACGAAGAAGACCTGGATAGACAAAATTGTAATCACATGGCTGCCTGATGTGGATCTGTGAAATCTGATCAAAGGGATGCTTGCTCCTGAAGGCATTTCCATTCAGGCTGCAGGGAAGTGTACTGAATGATCTTTTACTGTACACCCTAGATCAGATATCCTTGACCTTGGCCAGAGCTGGAGAAACGCTGCCAAATTCTTGCCCTCACACATCTTTTCCAGAGTCTCTGAAGAAAAACATTTTTTGAGTGTTCATTCTTGCTGTAAATAAGATGTATGTTATTAAATTCTCCCTTCCTTAGTTGAAGTCACATTTCATTCCTGTCTCTCTGGCCACCTATACCGTACTCAATGTGTCCAGACCCCCACTGACATCTTGGGTGACTCTTAAGTGGTTAATGCCTTCTCTACCCCTTTGCTCTGGTTGTACACTCAACCTCATGGAACTTACATTCCAGCGGGGAGGAGAGATGTAATACATATATCTTAAATATAAAAAAAAATAAAGTGTCAGTGCTTTAAGAAACTAAACCAGAACAAGGAGTGGAAAGTGCCTTGCTCTGGGAGCTAGAAACTTGCAATGACATTCTTAAGAGCAGGTCATAGATAGCCTTGTTTGTCATCATTGTATAGTGCACTAACTATAGGAGTTACAATAATGTTTTGTAACTTCGTTCAGTATAACTAGTGGACAAAATAGTCATATAGATAATTTGAAAACTTTTCCAGTAGTAAACAGAAACTACTGAATAAAATATGATAACTATTTATAGATTTACT